TTTTAAGAGAAAAATCTGTCTGTTATAATTTTTTCCGAATGAAATTTACAAAATTTTGTGTTTTCTTCATATTTAAGAAATTACTTCATAAAACCGATAAAATAGAAAATTATATACAAAATTTTTTGATACAATGAAAAATAAATTTCTAACAAAAAAGTTGCTATATACTGCTTTTTCTTTTGAAAATTGGGAGCGTCAAACGCAATTTTTTGGTATATAGTTTGTTCGCCATTTTTGATTAGAATTAATCCTAGAATTGGAATTTTCTTTGAAAACTTTTCTCCGAACAAATTACTCCGCCCTAATGTACATATGCATGTAAAGTGCCTATTGATATTTACAGCACGTTTGTTGCCAACGCCTCAATATTGCTATTTTTACTAGTCGATATGTAATTTATGTACTTTCCTAATTAACATCTTGCCAGCACAGAGTAGAAAGAAAGATTGCACACAATTGAAAAAAATACCCGTTTTTATTAATAAGCATTTATTTACTTACCTGTTTAAGTGGGAATGTATTTCAAGTAGTAGCAATATACTTACTTATCTTGAGTATGTGTTTCTGTATGCATATATGTAAATATGTACATACCCTGCAGGGAAACCGCGGACTAGTGAATCAAATTTCTAGTTCCGTACTAGGTCTTTATCGCCAAAAAGGAACTAGAGCTATAGGAACTAGATCCCCACCAGTCCAAAATCGGCGAAAAGTGGTACTTTTAAGAAACTATTTTTCTTCAGTCTTTTTCACTAGAAATCTATATCTAAAGTGACGAATTTAGAAATGGTTCGGAACTATAGAAAAACGGATGCAGAACGAACTAGATCTTATTTGTCGAATTTAGAACCAGTTCGGAACTATCGAATAAGGGATGCAGCGGGGGGCTTGTTTACTTTACATAGATATGTGTTCGGCGGCTTTTTCGTTCAAATACGCTTCTATTCTGTGCTTCGCAGATGCTTTTTCATAGCTCGGTAATACAAAACTAAAATTTGTGTTAACATTTCAACATCTTGGGACCGCCTGGAATCTAAGAAATAACAGCGAGCAAACTCAGCTACAGCTAAATGTATGTAAACGTACATTTCTTACAATCATGACAACAAATTTAATTTCAAATTGAAAACACATTTCTTCCAAAATAACTTGAAATCGCAAACACGGAAGAACAGAAAAGATTGAAAAATCATGATACTTTTTTCTTTCGTCTGTCGATTTCAGAACTGGTTCGGAACTATAGAATTTAGGACTAGTTCGGAACTATCGAAAAAGGGATGCAGCGGGCGGCAATTGACACTTCCTAGGACATCGCCATGTTAAATTCGCCAGTTGCTTGCATGCAAAAGAGATTTATCGCGAACCAGTACTGGGTCTAAATGTACTAGAATCGCCCCAGTTCAGAACTAGAGATTTTCCCTACAGGGTAGTTGTAAGCACGTGTTTACACATACAACATTCTTCTATCGTATCTTCATATATTGAAAGCCAAGTATTTATCAGCACTTATGTATTTTTAGCCATCTTTTTTATATTTCCCCCCTCCGCCAACCAAACACAAGGCGCTCGCTTGAAAATCAACCTTGCGCCTCTTTTTTTGGACTCTAAAAGATACATAAATAGTTTCCATTCAAATGACAATGAAGTTCAATTGTGCGATTTTTCACAAATAATAATTCCTATCATCCAACTGGATAGCTCAACTTTGCTAATATAGAATGTGTAAATGAGCAACTAATAACGAAAATCATAGAACGATATGTGGAATGGTTACAGCTTTAAACCACATGCGCCGGAAATTTTAGTTACGTATACGCCAACGCACATGCTAAGTTGTCTACGTAATTTATTTTCTGTTTTTTTTTTTTTTGTCTTTTAAATATTTGCATATGAAAATGAGCACAATCCCGTGACTTTTCTCACTAGTTTTGCTTATACATATTTATGTGCTTATATACCCTGTGGGGAAAATCTCTAGTTCTGAACTGGTGCGCTTCTAGTACATTTAGACCCAGTACTGGTTCGCGATAAATCTCTTTTGCATGCAAGCAACTGGCGAATTTGACATGGCTATGTCCTAGGAAGTGTCAATTGCCCCCCCCCGCTGCATCCCTTTTTCGATAGTTCCGAACTAGTCCTAAATTCTATAGTTCCGAACCAGTTCTAAAATCGACAGACGAAAGAAAAATCATGATTTTTCAATCTTTTTGGTTCTTCCGTGTGCGCGATTTTAAGTTATTTTGGAAGAAATGTATTTTTAATTTGAAATTAACTTTGTTTGAATGATTGTCAGAAATGTACGTTTACATATCTTTAGCTGTAGCTGAGTTTGCTCGCTGTTATTTCTTAGATTCCAGACTGTCCCAAGATGTTGAAATGTTAACACAAATTTTAGTTTTGTATTACCGAGCTATGAAAAAGCATCTGCGAAGCACAGAATAGAAGCGTATTTGAACGAAAAAGCCGCTGAACACATATCTATGTAAAGTAAACAAGCCCCCCGCTGCATCCCTTATTCGATAGTTCCGAACTGGTTCTAAATTCGACACTTTAGATATAGATTTCTAGTCAAAAAAAACTGAAAAAATTAGTCTTTTAAAAGTACCACTTTTCGCCGATTTTCGACTGGTGGGGATCTAGCTCCTATCGGACTAGTTCTTTTTTGGCGATAAAGACCTAGTACGGAACTAGAAATTTGGTTCACTAGTCCGCGGTTTCCCTACAGGGTATTCATAAGTACTCGTACAACCACATTCAAGTGATATCATATGCATATACATATGTATATATGTATGCATTGTATATTGGCACGTCTGAGCATTACATTATTTATTAACATTCACTGCATTCCCTTCAATTGCGCCTTCATAAAATATGTCAAACAAACTGTCAAGTGTTATGAATAGTGCGCATTTCATCTCGAAGTAAACACCTCACTTTTGCTTTGTAGTAAAACTTGCTTCGACGTATGTCCATTTGAGAAATTACACAGTTGGGTTGAAATTAAAACGAAAAGTATAAATGCAAAATACCAGAAAATGCTGAATTAAGGCTTCAATGTAAATTGTTATTGGTAATGATGGTTATTGAACTGAATGGCCACAAATATACACAATATATATGGAAGCACTTCAAAAATATTTTTTTTTTCAATATTCAACTTATAAATGCGAAAAAATGCGAAAAAAATTATATTGAGCTTATAACATCAAACACCTTAACTATAGTCTTGCCTTCCAGCAATGTGTGTAACAAATTGAGAATTCACATTAGGGTGGTCCAAAAATCCATGTGGGGGAAAAAGTTAAGTCCGAATTTGTATGATGACACCCCCTAGGAATGTTCTATACCGAAAAATATATACCCCTATTTTTTGAAATCAAAAAATATTTAGAGGTCGCTAACGGCGCCCAAAGTTTTCCATGTACTTTTGTATGGGAAAAAACAACTTTTACACAACAACTTTTTTACTATTTTACTTTACAAAAATAGGTGTATACTTTTTTCGACATACAACAATCCTAGACGGTGAGAGCATTACAATTCCGACTTTACTGTTTTTGGACCACCCTAATTCACACCCTTCCGATTGACCGTAGCTCCGAAATATACTCATCATTCTCCCAAAGTCGAAAATTAATTCTGAAATTCTTATAAAAAGTGTTGATAGCAGACAAGCAAAAATACTTTTCAACAGGGTTGCCATCTATTTTCCATGGTATATTTATTAATTTTTTGTTTAGAAAATTATATAACATACTACTGTTTATGGATACTAAAAGAAAGTTCTTAAACAATACTTTGCCTACATAGTAACTATTATCCCCTAAGAAATTTGTGTTAGGTTGCCACATATTTTCGATTTTACAAATTTTCACTAAAATAACTTTATGTTGATATCAAATGAAATATATTTTTTAGAATACATACATATTTATTTATTATTATTTCGTTGAGGTTTGCCACGTTTTTTTAATGCCAACTTGTATCTCACTAATTTCAACGAGCATTTTTTTTTGTATGTATACTAGGGTGGCTAAATAAACCATTTGGTATTATAACTGAAAGCCTCCTGAACATAAATAAAGTTTTTCAATCGAAAAATATTGATTTTCAAGAATTCTATACCATTTCTACGAAACATTGTTTTTTCCTCATATAAAATACATGTAAAACTTTGAGCGCTCATCATTTATTGATACACTATCCGTTTAATTTACGATATCACTACTGATAAAATATCGATATATAGTATAATTTCCGTTATTCCTATAGATAATTTGTAGATATTTTTATCAATAATTTCACGTTATATTTATCGGCATAGTTTCTGTAATAATCATCGATACATTTATTAAATATTTTTTCGTGTATTTAATACCTACACTAAATTCTTACCAATATCGGTTTGGATATGCAAATTGCTTAAGCACTACATCCTTTATCGATACAATTATCGATTATTTTAAGGTATCACTGCTGATAAATAACCGAAATAATGAACGATAATTTTACGATATAACTATCGACAATTTATCAACATTTTTATCAGTAATTTAACGATATATTTATCGGCATAACTTCTGTAATATCCATCGATAGTAGCGTTATCACTCTCACCTGAATTAGCATCACTCTATTAAACCACGGAGTAATTAATGTTCCAAAGAAGCCCTGCGGCTTGTGCTGTAATTTGAATTAAAGCCACGGTCGGTGATGAAAAGGAGTGTGTCAAAGCGCGTATGTCTCCGTTACTTCAACAATAAAAGCTCGGATAAAAGTAATTGCCAATAGCTTTCGAAATTACAAATCTGAATTCGATACCAACAGCCTTGAAGGTTTTGTTAACTAAACAAACAGAGTGATCTTTACTATTCGCTTTAGTCAAATTTAGCAAATTTAAGTTACCTACATATGTATATTACATTTTCAACGAAAAATATAATAAACTAATTATTTTCCAAGCCTACAATAATATTCTCACCCTCTTCTTGCAGGTCAATTGATGCTTTTCTACACCATTTTCTACATAGTACTCGCCGCTATGTTTGCAATATGCATGCAGGGCCTATTCGCCTCGTTGAGCGACAAAGAACCGACTTGGAAATTGGAAGGATCACTGATTGGCACAAATCCCGGTTTAGGTTTTCGTCCACTGAGTGACGAGACCGAACGTGGTTCGGTAATACAATTCGACACAAAGAAGCCAGAGGAAGGACGCTATTGGCAAGGACTGATTGATCAATTTCTGGAGAGTGAGTTTTGCTAAAAATAAATTTTTTATTTAATAAATTTTATCATTATCTCGTCAGAATACCGCAGCACTGGCCAGAAAAAAATCTGCCAATTCAATCAGACACGTAATGCCAATCAAGTTTGTGTTGTCGATGTAAATAGCTTTGGTCCATGCTCACAGCAAAATGCCTATGGTTATCAGAATGGACGTCCGTGCATTTTCTTAAAGTTAAATAAGATCTTCAATTGGCAGCCACAATTCTTTGATAATATAAAAGAGCTGCCTAAGGAAATGCCTACCGAACTTAAGGAGCATATTGGAAACTTAACCGATGTGCAGGTGAGTTAAGTGGAAAGTGAAAATAGGGTATAGAGGAATGGAAGATAGGAATTTGGAGAGGAAATTTTGTTGGGAACTTATAGACATCGATTGTGGAAACATGCATATCGACGAGAAGAAGCTGCGTAGCTACATATATTTTGAAGAGCGTTGCCGCCTGTTTGAAAAGTCAAATTAAATTAAATTATACACAGGTTTTCTGAAATATTTAAATACGAGTGTCAAAGGTTTCGGTCGGTGATTAGAAGTTGTATAGCTATATTTTAAAGAGCGTTGCCACCTCTTTGAAAAGTTTAATTAATTCAAATGATACACAAGTTATATGAAATATTAAAATATCGGTGTAAAATGGTTGGTCTCAGTGAGAAGAAAGAGTATAGCTTTATTTTGAAGAGGGTTGCCAACTGTTTGATAAGTCGAATTTAATTTAATTATAGATAAGTTATGTGAAATATTAAAATATGGATGTCCAGCGGTTCGTCTCGGCGAGAAGAAAGCTCATATCTATAATTTGAAGAGGGCTGCCACCTGTTTGAAAAGACGAATGTATTTAAATATAAATAATAAAGTACGAGCGTCAAAGGGTTCGTCTCGTTGAGAAGTTTTGTGAGAATATTTGTAATAGAGAAGTCGAATTTAATTAAATTGTAAAAATTTATTTGAAACATTAAAATATCGGTGTCAAACTAAAGAAAACTTTAGTTAAAACCGTTAAAATATTTTTTAGGTGCTTGAAGAGGATTGCCACTTGCTTAAAAAGTTAAATTACTTAATAAGTTAACTGATTTTTTTCAACATGGGAATCAATTGAAATGGTTTTGAAACGGCTTCATTTCGAAAATACATGTAGGAGGGTTACCACCTGATAAAAAGTCAAAGTCAACATGACCTAAGGAAATTAGGTAATTGAAAGAGGTTTTAGTTCATACAAGGGGCGTGGCACATAAGTCACATGACTCTGAAATTTGGTATGAAAACATAACTGTCGTAGGCGCTAATGATGAGGTATACATATCTATTTGAATTTGTGCAAAAAGCCGTGGCACATCCCTTAGATGTTAAAATGTTTAATCAGCTATTTTTTCACCCCGACTATGTCGGAATGTTAAATAGCTACTCATCCTCTTTTTATTCATTCACAGCGCCAGCAAGTTTGGGTATCCTGCAATGGACTGCACCCCGTCGACAAGGAGGCTGTTGGTGAAATGAAATTCTATCCCGGCCGCGGATTCCCCGCCTACTACTATCCATACCTGAACCAGCCCGGCTATGTTAGCCCACTGGTTGCTGTACAATTCGAAAAACTGAAACAAAATCAACTGGTGAACATTGAATGCCGTGCATGGGCCAAGAATGTCATCTACAGCGGCAGTTTGAATGCACGAACCGGTTCCGTAACTTTCCAGCTGTTTGTTGATTAAACAACAACTATGCAGAGCGCACAGTAACAGCAGCAGCAACAACAACAATAAAAAAATAACAAAAATAAAATTACGAAAACCTATTTGCAAAGAGCAGATCGTCTGTAAGATTGTACTCATAAACGAAGAAAAGAAAAAGGGAGAAAATTGCAAATGTAAGAATCGCAAATGTAATGTTTACCTTTTATCTTATCATGAAGCATTTTTCGCCATATATAACCCCGTTATAAATGCTATCTTGAGTCAACGAAATGCGGAATGCAAAGCAAAATCGGAGTTTTTATGAGTCACACGAGTTATTGTTGTTAGGCGAAAATTGATGAAAAAAATATTACAACGTTTAATAAAGTAGCAAATTTCTCTTGTAAACGAAAACGTTTGATAGAGAACAATGTGGTAAACGAATGTTTTTTTTTTTTTTTTTTGTAATTTTAAGTTAATTAAGCAAGTTGAAAGAAATGCATATAATAAAATTGTATCTATGAGAAATTTATATAGGTAAAATAGAGAAAAATAATAATATAATGCATAAGCGTGGGTGAGCGAAAGGAAATTTCGCAACAACAACAACAATTGCTTATTTTTCAGTAAACAAAAAAGCGCATATATGTAAATTAAAACAATAACAGCTAAAATTATAAAGTTCAAAATTTAAACTCAAAAGCTAGCGCATGCGCATACACAGGCACATACATACATACATATACACATGTACATACGTGCATACATATTTTTTTTATATTTGCAATGTGCGGCATTCGAAAATATTTCTTATAAAGTGGCAACGTTTACAACCAAAAGAAACAACAACAACCAAAATCGTATTGAAACACGCGAACGCATAAAAATAAAATGAAAATGTTTTATTAAAAAAAAATTATTAGTAGTGCCGTTGCAGGCTTTGTGTATGTTTGTATGCATTCTCGCCAAATCCGTACCACCACACACATATGCATATATACAAACACATACACACACACACACACGTAAAGGCAAACACCAATGCAGTGAGAGGCTGCTTATCTTAAATTTGTAACTCCTTATTTTTTTTTTTTTTTTTTTTTGTTAAGTTGAGAATCTAAAAAAAAACGAAAATTACTTATTAAGCTGAATTTATGAGTATTTATGTATGCATGTAAAAAGTGTAAATTTAAAAATAAATAAATAACAACTCTTCTATTTTTCGCTTTGTGATTTTAAAACAATAAAGGACAGCGTTTACAATGCCAGCTTGGAATTGAGAGTGCGCCTTTGAAATTTTTTACTGTTTACTTACCTTTAAGCTTGGCGTGAAAATTAAGTTGCATTTGAAATAAAGCAAGCTGTTACTTATGGCATTTAGCGCGAATTGATGATTGAAAAATATTCAATATTTCAAATATTTCAATGCCCAATGTCGGCTATTTAAGAATGGCAAATGCAACCCTGATTTGGAATACGAATTTGTGATAAACTTATTTTTCATCGAAAGTTGGCGCTTCGAAAGCGAAACTTCACTACCAGCTAAGACCGTAAGCAGAACATTAAAAAAAAAAAACGCAAAAAAAATATTCTCTACTCCAAACTGGCAGTGTAAGCCCTGGACGACGGTGTTTTCAAAGTTAGGTTAGTAAGTAAAAATTTTTCTTTTTTTTTTTTGAATTGCTCGCAGTAAAATATTATTTAACAAAAATTCTGTATTTTAATTTTTTATATATTTTTTTAATAAAAATGCGCCAGCAGCTTACTTAATTCGTTGCTGCAGGGTGGTTTAAACTGTAATCCCTACTGAAATTACATTTAAAATAATGCCACAGTATTTTTTATATATTTTCACCGTTTGATGCGATTCAATACAATTTCCAAATTCTCAATCTTATTATTTAATTTTAGCACCGCTTAATTTGCTGTTAATTTTACTATTAATTAGCTTTTAAATCACAAGTAATGCTATACAAAACAAAAACTCACAATCCTTCAGTTGTTTTTTTTTTTTATAAGCCACTGGCAACACCAACTACAATACGCAAATGTTAATTATGTATCATAAAACATAAGTGCAGTTAGCACAATTACGTAATGTTGCGAAAGAAAAACGTACATATGTACATATATACCGTTCAATCAAGCAAACATACAAAATAATATTAAAAAAAACGAAAATAGTAAATAAATACATACATAAATATGTAAGTTTACAATATTTGAGTTAATTAAGTAAAATATTTATTTAGTTATTTCAAAAATTACAATTCATGTTATTTGTACAATATCGTAAAAATAAAATTTTAAAACCTAAAAATCTGCGGAACATTTAATTAAATTTTTAATTTTTTTTTTTGTGAGTTTGGTATCTTTCTGGCCAACGGATAAGGCTATTTCTTATTCCGATAATTTTTTTGTCAAAAATACGCTTTCCCTCGAAAATAGTACATAAGTACTAAATTGTATAGGTAAATAGATATTCCAACTGAGTAGGAGTATGGTGTATTGTGGAGCGATTTTCCGTCATCTCAAAATAGAACAACGCCGAAACCAGTTCGTATTTCAACCAAATATTTTTATTTTTATTTTATTTTATTTTTTTTTATTGCGCTGGAATACAAAACCGAGCCACTCACCTGGAGGCGAGATTTTATAACCGCAATCGATCTTATGGTGTAAGTACGATACTTTGGATCTTTTTGGCAATAAAATGAAAATCATCTTGATTATAAACTAACAAAATTGAGATTCCTTGAGGTAAATAAGTGTGTTTTAAGCCGAACCTAGGCGTATCTATACTTTTAAATTTTTCCGGACACCTACATGGGGCATTTAAAAACATTTCAAAAAGTTCTACTGGAATATTCAAATACGAGATTTAAATTACTGACATTAGGGTGGTACTAAATGAGGTCTGGTGGGTAAGTACTAAAACGGCGTACTTGAGGTCAATAAATTTTGGAACAAACGAAATTGTCTCCTAGAGACAAAAATATCGATATATCATACATTAAGATCCGACTGTAAATGCCGAAGATTTGACAAAAAATGTAAAACGTCGACCCAACCCCTAAGTTCGTAAAAAAAAAAACATTACAAATTGCCTTCAAATGAAAACACTTCTTTAGAAAAAGTATACTTATTTTTGGAGAGCTTTAATTTACTGACATTAGGGTGGTTGGAACTGAGATCTTTTGGGTAACCACTAAAACGGCGTACCAGAGGTCAATGAACTTTGGAACAAACGAAGTTGTCTCCTCAAGTTGAAAACATCGATATATCGCACACGACACAACTCAAAATTTGGCATTTTTCAAAATTATGCACTAAAAATGTGCACAGAGCTTTTATTTATCTTTCAGCAAAAGACGGAGCAAATCTATGTTATAATTTGTTGAAAAAAACCTAAAGTAAAGTCTGCCTTGCCCCTATGATTAGCATGTGCTAAGAAATAAATTTTCGCATTTTCTGACAAACGTAATTTTGAGTTGTGTCACCTTCGAAGATCGTGTGCGATATCATGCTTTACGATCCGACTTTAAATACCGAAGACTGTACGAACAATAAAAAAAACGACTTCTAAGCTCGGTAAAAAAAATGTTCGATTACTTTAGACTCTGGGGGTGTGCGCCGAATTTTTTTCTGGTATGGTCTTATTTATGTATATATTTATGTATGTATATATATCTACATGTATATATCATTTCCCTTTAAATTTTGTGCGAACATAGCCACATTAGGCACGACCGCGGAAGCTAAATATTATATTAGAAAACTATTACAAGGTTCATTTTAGTGTAGTCTGACGGGAATGAAAAAGTTTAAAGCGATAGTGCTCTAGAATAAATTATTTCATTACTAGCATGCACCTCAATACCAAAAAATCTCACAAAATATTTACCCTTGAGTACTTCTTCGTTAATTGCAGTATTCAAATTAAATATAGAGTATATTACTAATTTCACGTCTGCTTAATTACATTTACTTAAAGCCTTTAAATTAGAACATGATTTTTTAACGAGTTTCTAGCGTCACCACTAGTAATATTTTTTTTGTCTTATTTGGAATAGTACAACTGATTTGCATTAGTTTGCTTTTTCGTGATTTCTGGTTTTACTTGTTTTCACTTTGACATATATATTTAAAAGAAATCATTTTTCAGATTTTTCTTGCTATATTTTTACAGCCCATACATAGAGTTGGTACCAATTTTCAAGATGTTCATTGACTTACCAATTTACTGATGGGCGTTTGTCACAGTGAAAACTAACCCTTATAGCATGGACAGACGGCAGCGTTAATCCGGATAAACTCGTTAATTCTGAATTATCTCGGGAATTAACTGCAATTATCCGGCTCCGAATTAATCCGAATTAACGCTGTAAGCCATTCAAATTATTTTATAAAGTCTACATACATAGTAATTTATATCACTCAAGTGTTAGTTCACAAGGGATTGTGTTAAGGTTTCTTCAAAATACTGTAATAGCTTTGCATTTTTGTCACCATATAAAAATGTTACACATTGCTTATTATTTTACACCAATTTTTTTCTAATCGTACGTTCCAACCGACTAGTTTACATTAATGTTTGAAATTAAGGAATTTTTCAAATTCTTTTTTGTACACAAAAATATTGGCGCGTAATTGCAGATTAAATGAAAACAGGTTTTCACAATTAAAAGTACGCTTCAGATTCGAAAAATACTATTAAGTCTCTTCTGAACATTTGAGTATAAAGTATTTTTGCAAGACAATGTGGGAAAAAATTTTTTTGGCGACAACTAAGGCTTTTTAAACGACTTCAAAAAAAGGAGGAGGTTATCAATTCGTCGGAATATATATTTTTCTTTTTTTATGTATGTTACTGCATAACTTTCGACCACGTCAACCAATTTCGAAAGTTCTTTTTGCATCGGAAAGGTAGTGCCTCAGAGGTGATCCCTGGTTTAAATCCGATCATTGGATCATGAAAAATTAACGGCACTCCTAAATTTTTACATGAGATTTACTTGTTAAATTTTTCAATGACAACAAATTTCGGCAATAAATTTTTTTTTATATAAAGACCTCTCGGAATAATCGAAATACTTCCTTAGCGGGAGTGTAATGATTTTGGCGAGCCTTAATTACCGGTCTTGAGGGTGGTACGGCATTTTTTTTTTTCAAGTTGCCTTACAAAAAATACTTTACATTCGAAGGTGTACGGCGAAGGTTTTTTTTTCTGGTACGGCGTAATGTACAGGCATCTGTTAATTAATAAATTTTACCTACCGAAAATTTTAAAGTACTGTTAAAAATATAAATTATATGTATTAAACTAAGTAATACTTTCCTCTTTAAATTATTTCGTTCAAATATTCAAGGTTTAACTCTATTTTATCACAATTTCTTTCAATTTAAAAAAATATGCATTGATATTCGCATTGTTTTTGTCAAGCTAACTAAATACATATTTGATATACGCATGTACATTAAAGTGCCCCCCCCTCCATACAAAAAAAAAAAATGGTGCTGCTTTCCCATCGGAAATATAAAATTTACATATTATATTTTAAGATCTCCGCAAAATATTTTGGAAAAATATTAAGATTTACTACTGAAAATACCTCCAGAGCTATTTGAAAATACCTCCAGAAATTGATTTTTTTATAAACACCTCACATCAGCTTAGCTTAGAAGGTCTGTATAAAAATATTTAAAAAAATTTGTCAACGGAATCAAAATAATGAGAAATTTGTAGGTCACATCGGAATATTTTGGCGGAAGTCTTAAAATATAATAAATTTTATAATTCCGGCGGAAAACCCGCAACTTTTTTAGTGGCGCATCCTAATGTATATTTGTGTCGGAGTTTGCTTGTAAATACAATAAATTAAAATGCTTATGATAACTTTACGACTCTCACATATCTATTCAGATGTTTCCACATTTTTTTTTTTTATTTTAATTTTTTTATTCTTTAAAAAATCAAAAATCTTTCGTGAAAATGTCGAGCCATTTAGTAAGACTTCTTGGAATTTTTTTGAGTATCTTTTATAAAAAAATAATTAAAATAATAACAATATGTGAGTGTCGAAAAGTTATGATAAGCACCTTCATATACATACATATGTATGCACTATGTACTTCTAAAATTGCAAATGTCGACATTGGTCTTTCTTACTAAATAGCCTTACAAAATATCTATTTTTAATGGAATTATTAAAAATTGTAAATGTCTCTTTGACATTTTATAAAACTATTAGTACATGTGAGAATCTGATTATGTACTGAAAACATTAGGGATGTCCAAAAAACCGCTGAAAAAGTTTCAAATTGAGACAAAAAATTTAAACTAATAAAAAAAAAACTAGACTAAAAAAGAAAATTAAATTTTTTTAGTGGCCTCATCTGAATGTATCTAACATTTCTTCATGCGGTTTAGTCTCCGAGAGTCAAATAATCAATTTTGCTCGTTATCTGGTACATTATTAATTTCATGGAGACCAACACATAATGGCGCATCTACTTAAAAATTTTCATTCCATTTATACAAAAAAAACTGGGGTAAAGCACTAAATAAATTTAGAAAATTATTCACCGAAATTTAGACACCCCTAATGTTCACAGCTTTTTACTTATCAACAGTATAACTACATATATTTTATTAGTAACAATTTCTCTAGTAAATATTTAAATTTTTAGTACAATTTAACTAACTACTGGAAAGTTGGAGTAAAGTTTAAAAAGCGTGGAAAAAACAGCTCAAGACTCTTTCGCACCCCACGAATCGGTTTCGTGGTATATGCGCATTATGTGGTCCCGCAAGAGCTTCGTTTTCTCTGAAAAGATTAGTATTCGTAATTTGTCTGCAGTTAGTTTGAGAAAGAAATAAAAAATAACCGAACTTACCCTTTGATAAATTATGGCTTGCCGTTGCCGATTGTTTCTTCAAAAATTCTAGGCACATATCTTGAGGTAGGCCCAATGAGTGCATATTGCATGTAAAGGCCCTGGAAAATAAGTTTTATATTAGAAAATGTTTCTTCCACTTCATCTTCCGCTTACCCCAGTTGTCGAAACACAATATTCTCGATGGAGTGCGGATCGAGCTGATGCTGCTTTCCAGTGGCCGCTGCAGCGCTTAAAGAACCACCAACTAAAGCTGTCGTCTCCGCTGAAACTCCGCCACCGCCACCGACACCGCCAGAGGTATCTTCAGCACTTGTCTGTGAAGCAGATTTCTTAACCGCGTGCACCTTTAAGGCCACAATATTGCCACGATGTGAAGAACTGGACGTAGAAGCGTGTTCCCCATCAACAATTGCACCAGCGCCAGCCCCATCCGTTGGCGCCTCGTCCACCGTCGCTGCCTCTACTGAACTCTGCTCTTTCAATTTCGCCTCTTCTGCGGACTTTGCTGCGAATTGTGTTTTGTTGCGCTGTTTCTTTTCGGCACGACGCTTACGCATGTCCAACCGATGTTCACGCTCACTTTGCACAGCCTCGAAGAAAGCGGCACCCCAAAAGCGCTGACTATACCAGATCGGCTGGCGGCGCATATAGGTGAAGAGGTACTGACGATACGGATCACAGCCTGGAACTTCAACTGCAAAAATAGCGGAAAGAAGAGGTAAGTTGTAATTACATATAAAAATTCCTTCCGACACACGATCTTACTCACTTTCATTGTAGAACATAAAACAAATATTCATAATAACCGCAGCCGGTGCGTAATCCTCGCACTCGCCGCACTCGAACAAGACAATAGCGAAGTATTGCACCAACGAATGGAAGGTCACCTCGTCTACACGCTTCGATTTGGATTTCTGCTCGAGCAGAAATCGCGTGAACCACTGTCGTCCCGCATCGATGCGCGCCAGGGCGCCGAACTCTGCCTTCAGTTCTAGCCCAATGGCCGAGGCGTTGCTAAAGATCACCTCAATGAAACGTTTCATGAACTCCTTCACCGGCTCCTCGCCCACGCGACAATCCAAACTGATGGACGATGCCCACGATGGCACCGAATTTTGTGACTCTGAACGTATGAAATTGCGCCAGTCCGTGGACTCAATGCTCGGACTGATTTGCACATCGGGATCGTCTCGCAGGCTGGTTACAGTGCTGCTATTTGAGTTGCGACTGCGTGGTGGCACCACCATGCTAGTGCCTGACTGGGTCATGGCTGGCAAATCCATGTGCAAGTGTGTGGGGTGTTGCAGGCGATGCTCGTTGGCGCCGCCGTTGTTGCTGCCGCATTCACGATCCGAGGGCGGTTGTACATCGATATGCGGAGCACCAGCGTTTGTATTTGGTGCTGCTGCGGCCGCGGCATTGACACTCAGCATATCAGTGATGCGTGACAAGTCTCTCTGTATGTCGAGTTCGCTGCGTCGCGCGCCCGGTATAGCACGTCCAGGGCGTCCGTAGCCACCGGAGTGACGTGACTCAATTGAATTTGAGCGTGTTGTGCTACTCACATGCGAACGATTGACGGGCGGTGAGTATGAAGACGATGTGGAACTGGAAGTTGAGGAACTCGAAGCGGAACGTCGTATTTTATCGCGTGCGCTGCTGCGTGTGGCCTCCAAGCGGGGTCCTGCGGGGGGGCGGCACATATTGTTATGGTTCTATAAAAATTGGCGGACCACTTTAAGCTTACTTGGTAAAAGGTTGGGATAGCGAAACCGTCCTGATATGATCTCTTCATGCGCTCGTCGCGCCTTAATACGCCGAAACTCGTAATCGATTTTCGTGTAATCGATTGTCTCGTCAACTGTGAAAATATCGAAATGTTCATAAAATATTTGAATAAATTAATTGGGTTTTTTTCTTGGTATTCACACCACTTACAAGTAGGAACCTCTTCATCGTCATCGCAATACTCCGATTCGCTGGAGCTGATGCTTAGTGTGAGCTGAAAAAATTTGTAGGTGGAAGTTATTCTCGGTTCCAAAGATGGTTCGTATGGATCAAATAGGTATGTCAGAAAATAAGTTGCCTACGGCTGGCAATCCTACTCATGAAAAGAAGATACAACGTTCGAGTCGGAAGCACTCAATAACTCCCACACCGAATTAAATGAACTGGTCTTATTTCTTGCACTTAACTCTCAGACTTTAAAAGCTTTTTAAGCAAAGCAATACATCTATTTCCCTGAGCTTACTCTTCGTTTCTTCCCCTAGAATCCTCCTTGGAACGCAAACGGCCTTTCAAAACATTATCTATTAATAAAAGCGTTCAACATTTCACTGTTAAGAGCTACTTTCCAACACCAGAATACAGGGGGCCAATCTATCTATCTATGGGACTCACCCATAAAAACATTTGCTGTAGTCGAAGTAAAAGCGGCAATTAAAATCCTAAAACTCAAACACCTGGCTATGACCTAACTATGACCTAGAGCGGCCTTTCTCGATATCTCACAAGCCTTCTACGGAGTCTGGCGTGATGGGCTATTCAGTCCTATCCATCAAATTGGTATTTCTTTGTTAATAATGGAATGGAACAGTCTGACCTTCATGAAAGCACGGCAGGTGTACACAGAAGGCAGCGTCATGATCCCCTACTATACTTACTCTGCACATACGACCTACCAGTAATAGAAGAAACCACCATTGGCACTTTTGCCGATGATACTTTTATTTTAGCAGTTGACGACTCACCCCAGAAAACAAAGCACTACTCTACTCTACAATCATAAAACCGATTTGGACTTACGGTACACAGCTGTGGCGAACAGCATCAAAGTTTAATTTTGAAAAACTCCAAAGATTCCAAAACTCTGAGGATGATTGTCAATGCACCATATTATGTCACAGATACCCATCTCCACCGCGATCTTAGATCCTCACCACCTCAGAAGAAACTAAAAAACAAGCTGTATCATACAACTTGAGGCTACTGAGTCACCCTAACCCACTCATAACAGAGTTAACATCCCACTCAAACATTTTTGCCCGATTTAAGAGAAAGTCAACAACAGATCTACTGCAATAATAATGCCTAGCTAAATACAAAAAAAGTACAAGAAACTTTATTCCCGAAACAAGTAATTTTGTTAAAAACTCAGTCGTGTTTAAATCTTCAAAATAAGTTTAGTTTTAGACTGAGGCTTTTAAAGTATGCGCGCAGAGGCCATAAATACCCGAAGAAGGGCTTCTCCAATTTTTCTTTAAATCCATTTTTTACGAATCTAGTCACCTCATTAGGAAGAAGAAGTCAGTCCGAAAATGCAATCCGACAGAACTTTGGTTTACATAGGCTATCATAACATCACCTCAACTCGCTTAATTTGTTCTTTTGCATAGAAGAACAGAAGAGTTTGTCCCACTAACAAGCTTTCCCTTACCTCTTCCTTTTCCAATCCATCGAAGAAACCAATTTGGTGTTGTGGACTAAACCTATATTGTCCAGATTTTCGTAAAAGTGGCGGTCAAAAAATTGTTGGTCCTATTCACCGTCAAACATCAGCTCGATCGCCACAAAATTTAATATTAAAAAATTTTAAATGTGCTACTCTTAACTATGTAGTTTGCTATTAAAAACTTCAATCGGAGCCCACAGATTGTAGGAAAATAAATGTTGGACGAATCCAGAAGCAATCGATATAGATCTTCCGCAAATCTAAAAATGATTCCCTGGTTCTTAAAGAGCTTCTTTGAGTTCGCAGAGAGCTGTGAGAGTATATCCCAAGCGCAACCAGGAGGCTTCGGTCTAACTTTCTGACGAATCCATAAGCGTACTCATCAAGAAATCAAATCTACGAAAAGCAGAAATTTTAATTATTAAAGCTTCACACAAAGAAAACAATGATTAAGAAAGGTTTTTACAACTCTATTACTATATGCCCTTCCTATGAAATTTTTTCATGACTTTCAAGATCGTTGAAAAATATTTTCAGAAAAGCTGATCCCAGCAGCGCAAATAAACGAGGCTTTTCTTTGTCGAGTCTTCGCTTCATTTGCCTTCCGTAACGATACAAGTTCTCCGATAGCCAATCAGCTTTTAGGTCATTGAGACACTGCGCAGCCTCGTCAAAAATTGCAATAGAATGTATAAAAGCCCTTAATGAGTTAGCTTTGAAGTCTACTACCTCCATTGTGCGGGTGCAAGGTCACATACAAAGTAACTGAACAGCAGACGAGATTGCGGATCTAACGACAACGCTTCTAACGATGCCGGTACACTGCTATCTACCGGCAAAGTATGGTTTAAAGCAAGCTACCTCGAGGAGGCAAATAAAATATGATTGCAAGAACCCACGTGTAAGACGCCTCGACAAATCTGGCCCAGTTTCGAGAAGAAAAAATCCGATCCACTCATTCGGTTAGAGCGTCTTCTAAGTACTTAGACAACTGACCGGAATGATAACGAGCCACTGCTTGATGAGAAGGCATGCTGCCAGAATGACAACTGCCGCAGCTGTCACATCAAGGAAGATATTGAGACTTTCAAACACTAGCTCTATTACTGCGCTACCCAATCGTGGGCAAGAAGATGCTCATTTAACCATTACCTCTTTGTCTTTCTGGCGGACATAAGTGACGCAGGCTTTCGTCAATTCTCGCGCTTTACTGACCTACAAGCACTTCTATGTGGGTGAATGGAAGGGATCGAATGCGAGCTCAGAATTGGTACTACATTGGGGCCGCTGGGCCTAAGTGTGCGCCCCTCCTACATTCAAGTATATTAAATAGGGCTGTGCGATTAATTGATTACTCAAAATTTTAATTAATCATAAAGTAAATAACTCAGTTATTCGATTAATTAGAAGTTATGATTACTCAAAAGTTCAGTTACTCGAGTAATCAAGATTTTTGATTAACCAAAAGCAAAAATATTTGAGTAATTTGCTTTATGATTAATCAACATTTCGAGTAAAATGAGTAATTAACATTTCAACTCTAAACATATCTATAAAGTAGTTAAAGTTCCTTGATACTTTAAAAACAACGTTTCTGTTTTCAAAAATTAAAACGAAATTTTTTTTCATATACAGAATGTAAAAAAGAAAATAAGCATTTTCCAAAGCAAACTCTTTTAACGAGCAAAATTTTTTTTTTTTAGTAATCATATTTCAAGTAACTCGATCAATCATCGTTTTGAGTAATCAAAATCTTGATTACTCGAGTAATTGATTAACCGAATAATTGATTAACTAACTTGCTCGAGTAATCGAATAATCGCACAGCCCTAATATTAAAAGCAAGCAGCCACTTCAACCTTATCTAACCTAAGCTGCTCTTAAGGAATACACTCAAAGTTCCTAAACAATTGGAGGGGTTTTCTTAACAACACTCTAACCATATCAATCCCTTGGCGAATCCAGTTTGTCCTGCTAAACAAGGTCTAGCCTGTACAGATATTTGTAAAAGTCGCCCTCAAGTAGGCCGAAATCCCCACAAAAGTCAAACATTTAACTTAAAATTATACAAGAACCCTTCTACAAGCTCCAAAAAGTAAATTTTACATCGCCATTGAAAGCTAACCGCATCAAGTCTGTTATTTTCCGATTACAATAATTTCAAATTTTCGTCCACAGTTTAATGAGCCGCATCCCATAAAATTTACTTCAATAATCTCATAGGTCATTAGTTTTCAGAAAAGATTTCCTTTGCTCTGCAGTAAGCGTTTACTAGGACGGCATTTTCGCACATTCAACCTTTCCTAACACGCCCGTACAAATATGTAGTAGTATTGTAAATCAATAACCAAAAGCATATTTCTTAATACATTTCACTAATCGCTCATGCCAATCACCCACCAACCACTTACGGGTACATATACATATATGCAGTTACAATATTTTTCTACGCCCGCTTTCGGCCTTCATACCTTGGCAAGTATGTACTATGTATGTAAGTGGAATAAGTATTTCTTTTACATGAACTTAACCCAGATGTGCCAATGCACAATGACCTCGACAGTGGCACCACAATCGAATTGTGGCACCAGCAATTGGCAACAAACATTGCTGCCGCCACAAAAACCAAATGAAATATCATAAAAAAAAACAACGAAAATAAAACCACTGCTAACCAAAAAAACAAAAAAAAAACAACAACAAACCGGGTAATAATCTACATTCTGGTCTGTCGGTTTGGACCTGTTTTGCCGCCCCTGAACTTAACCATGGCGCAGCTCAAGCTCAAGCACAACAAACACTGACTTGACAAACCGGGTGGGGCCGATTGGTGGGTGCAGTGTTGGACCGTTTGGCTGTGGTCGGCAGATGTCACAAGGGTTGACATTCGAGGCAAATGCTAAGCGGTATCGAATAATGTCAAGTGCATATACTATATATGTATGTATATTTATTTTGAGCAAAAGTATGTGGGTGTGTGTGTGTGGAGATGCGTTTGGCTTTTTGCACGGCCGCAAGGTTATGCACAAAAAATAGCATCAAATAGAACTAAAATAATCCAAAGAGCCATTGGTTTGCGCCAATAGATATATTTAAATATTTATGCATGTACAGTAGTGAGGAAGAAAATGGCAGTACGATAGTACTGATGTCGGTACATATGGTATGCTATAGATATGTACATATGTGTTCAGAACAGCCAGCTCCAACGATCTGGCATTAGCTGTTCCAAGCGGTCCATTTCACAAAGAGCCACTATTTTTGATCTACATAATAAATTACAGAGCAGTTTGTGAAGACTTGATGTCGTCTGAAATTTGTTTAACTAAAACTTGGATTTGTCTGTATTACCCCCGAAGAGCTCATAGCAATCCGTCTGTGACAATTTTACCTTGTTAGAGTCCTCTACCTTCACAGCGACACTTCTTGTAAAAAGAAAGCTCATCGGGGACTATAATCCGGTAGAGATGCAGTTAGTCCTATTCCAATTCAATCTCCTGTATCTCAAAGCTAGTAGAGAGAAAGTAGTACGCAGATAGTCCAGGAAAATCCTTCCAGCCTTTATAACTAGGATACAATATAAAGCAAAAAATAAGAGCTAATCTCTCCTAGTTATAAAGGCTGGAAAGACTTTCCTGGACTATTAGCGTATTACTTTTAGACAGATATGTCTTATGTCAGTTCACCTAGCTGTGGGCGCAAATCAAGCTATGTGCGAGCGCAATATTTTTCTGGCCAAGGCTGAGAGGTTGAGTTCTCTCTCGGTCTGGTCCAGCAGATGGTGTATTCTCATTCCCAAGACAGCCGGTTCCACATGCTCAAGTTTTTTCTGACTGTTGTTAAGATCGGTGGAACTAATTTTTTCACTTCATTTTTCCTGATTTACTTACTTGTAATCGAAAATACTTCGAACTTATTTCAACCTATTAATTTCTAAATTAAAGCTATATCAATTTTTAGTATTCACTTAGGGCCAGTTTTTCAGTTTGAGTTTAAGGCCGCTTCATAGTTTAGTTGTTTTGCAGGGCAACAATGTTTTTTCTTTATGCAGATACAAAACTACAGCTATTTACATATTTTCACTTTTGCTACGACCGCATTTGAAGTACTGAAAAATTGTAGACAGAAATTTAAAAATTTGTTCATGTGTTGCGCATCCGTATTGCCTTATGCAAAAAATTAGCAGTTGTTAATTTTCTGGTGCATAATTTTCATCTTACGTATGAAAATTTTACATTTCGTGTATTTCGCAAACAAGTTTAATTTTTTTCATCCCCTTTCATCTAAATTTTGATACTTGACTACAAATGCGGAAGTTAACAGCTGATAGTTTGTTAGTGATAGTTAACAGCAAGTTTGAGGGTTTAAACTTAGTTTAAACTACGTTTACATTTGACTGAAAAGCTGCACACTGAGTTTAAACTTAGTTTAAATAACAAACAGAGTTAAACTCCCATTGAAAAACCGGCGCTTAGTAGTTGGGCTTAATTGTTAGTAGACAAAGTAGGATTATTTCCTATGCAATTTTTATACTCCAAAGTGTATGCTTAAAAGATTAATATATATAGGATTCCAACTAAAGCTCAATGTGAGTTATTAAAAGTTAACGCAAACGCTGCTACAGTTTTAGTGCCGTTTTCTGAAGTAAGCTTGAACTTTAAAGCTCACTTTATATTTAAAGGTTGGATTAAAAATAAAGCTATGTCTAAAGTTTAGCATTTCTATTATCAGTTTTTGACTTAATTTTAATGCAACTTTTAAATAAAAAGTGAGCTTTAAAGTTACAATTTACTTGAGAAAACGGCTCTTATTCTAATGGGAAATTTTGATATCGCATCAAATGGCAGCACATCTTCTGTCGAATGTCGTGAACTCAAATCAAATTTCTATTCGATTTACTTTCGATATCGAATGCCGCAAGCCGGGCACAGCTTCCTATCAAATATTCCTACTTGAATGAATATTAGGGTGCATCACTCTACATACAAAAAAAAAATCGATTTGGTTTTTCCATCGGAACTATGACATTTATTATATTTTAAGACAGCCGCCAAAATATTTCGGAAAAATAACAAGATTAACTTGAACTGAGTCGATTTGAAAATATCTCCAAAAATCAAGTTTTTCATATTTAAAAATTCTTTTTTAAAAAAATGTTTTAAAAAAAATCACCCAGAAGGTTTGTGCGTATGAGCTCACAAGGTCTGCATAAAAATGCTTAAAAATTTCATCAACGAAATAAAAATAATGACATTTTCGGAAGTACAGTGGTCGTCCAGTATAACGAATGCCTATATAAGGAGCGCTCCAAATAACGAATGCCTTTTTAAATGTATTGATTACTCTAAATAACGAACGGTATTCTATATAACGAACGCTTGTTTACTTTATGTGCTTGAATGACATGATTTTGCATGATCTTTGGGTACGTGGAATTACCGTCAGTTCAAAAGAATAACTTCTCACAAGTGGTCGCGTTTATTGAACTGGAAAAATACCCCCGCCGCCTTAACGTTTGTTATTTATTAGGTGAAAAAAATTAAAAAAAAAAAAAAAAACACACACACATTAAGCGAAATTGGAAAATGGGGCTCACAATAAAATTTTAGTTCGATTTAACGCACTTTTCGAAATAGCGTATGAACCCAGACATTTTATCATTCGTTATACTGGACAACCAGTGTAATCTGAAATTGCTCCCGCTCACGTGATTCTTAGTTTGTTTTTTCCGAAATTTTTTGGCGTAAGTCTTCAAGTACGTATGTATGTATAATAAATTTTATAATTCCGTTAGAAAAACAGTAACTTTTTTTTGGCGAGCCAACCTAATGTATATGTAACTATGTGTACATTACACTCACCTTATTCGAAATACCGTTGAGCAGCTCATTACTATTCCCCAGCACTGTTAGAAATTTCGACTTCAATATTCCAATACCCGGAGTGCGTCCCATAAAGCTTTTGATTTTAGAGCGTTCGCCACCCGGTGGTGTAGGCGGGCAAGTATTTAAGTCGACCATTGTTTTGTTGTTGTTGTTGTTTATTGTTGCTGTTGGCGCTTATGCTTTTCTACACACACTCTTTAACTCACTCCAGTCACACTGCACTTAATTAATTGATCATACGCCGTGTGTGTGACCTTGTGCTGCATACTAACAGGCGCGTAAATATGTAACTACTACATAATACATGAATCCACATATGCAGCAATGCATGCATGTACATACATATGTATGTATGTAGGTGTGCGTATGCTTTCGAATTACTTATGCGTCGAGTAGATAAAATGGACAAATTGTTCGTAAATATACTGCATGCGTACGAGTAAGTTAATACTATTTATTTATTTCTTAATTTATTTATTTTATTTAGCTATCAAACGCACAACAGCCAACACGTTTGGTCAGCTGGACACTTCCATATGGTAAATGCGCTTCAACTGCTCAGAATTTCTATAATAATATTATTGGCTTTGAAGTGTAGGTAACGGTAGGCGGTATGAGTACTCAAAAGGGCGGTACCCAGCATGCATGCGGCTGCAGAGGCCTGCCACGGCGATCCCCCACACACACACACACCTAAACGCACTATTAACGCTTAGTTACTGTTTTTTTTGACGTAGAATACGTCTTACCTTAAGGTATGGGGGCTATGTTCAAATGTTGTAGTTGTAATTTTTAGAGCTTCACAAAAACGCTTATTGCACGAGAACTAATAAAGCGATTTCAAAGAAAAGTGTGGCGTTTCAAAGATAAAATTCCAAACCTGTCG